GGGCTGTCCCGGCGCTCAGAGCCACCCGGCCACAGCCGTGGTGGTCGCAGTGCAAACCACACTCTCCACTTTGCTCCAACAAAGCGTAAGCAAGCGAACGGGCGGCGAGGACTGCGCGGTGCGCTCCGGCGCGCACTTAGGATCTGTAGTCCTTCTTGCTGTAGGGTTTGTTGCCCAGGATGCTATCGATCTCGTGGACGATGGAAGACGACAGTTTCGGAAGGACCTGCGGGGATGGGGGATGCTGCTGGCAGTCGGGATCGGGCTGCTGGTGCAGGCGGGGGGATGCAGCCAGCAGGGGCACGTGGTCCTGCCGCGCTCACCGCCTCCACCCGCCGCCTTGGTTCTGCAAGCCCCAGCTGGCTGCTGAGCGACCCAGATAGGGAAGCCTGGGTCGGGCTCAGCGCCTGCCTCAGCCCCGCCGAGCTGCAGCTCTGCCGCTCGGCTGCCCAGCAAGCCAAGCCGTTGGTTTTGCTTTGAACCACATTTGCAACCTCCTTTTCTTGCGCAGCGCGAAGCAGCAGCGAGCATTGCCAGAATGCAGCAGCAAAGCACATGCAGGTGGGTGCTGCCCCATTAAAGCCCCCTAAGCTGGCTCTGCTCCTTCCCAATGGTGAAGCCCCCCCCGTGCGCCACTGCCGGCAATGGCCACTAACCTGTATTGCTCCAATATTCTCCATAAGCTGGTCAGCATTGGAGGCGCCCAGCAGGACTGAGCTGACACCCTCATTACGCAGGCACCAGGCTGGGCAGGAGAGAGAGCAGAACTGAGTGTGGCCAGCCACACCCAGTGTCCCCACTGGTGTCCCCGGTGCCCTTACCGATGGCAAGCTGGGGCAGGGTGCAGGTCGGCAATGGCTTGCACCTCTTTCAGCTTGCCCGGCTGCCGCCGGCCCTCCTCGCTCAGGATCTTGTCCTTCAGCCACTGGTATCCCTGGGGGTGGAAGGAGGTGTTGGGGTGATGCAGGGGTGTACTGGGGCTGGGTGCAGCCAGGGGAACCCCAGCTGCCCCCTGGGCTACAGCTCCTGGACTTCCTGCTCACAGCAGGAGCTTGTGACCCCCAGGTCCTGCTGCCCCCATTCCATCATGACCCCTGGCCAGGCTCACCTTCAGCGAGGCGCGGGAGTAGGGTGGGATCCCCCCATCGTACTTCCCCGAGACGATGCCGCAGGCCAGTGGGGACCAGGTCATGGCTCCGACACCTGGGACAGGACAAAGTAGAGAGTGACACAGCTGTGCCTGGCACTGTGGCACAGAGCTGGCTGGCCCTGGTAGTGCTGGGCTTTGGGGAGTGCAAGGGGGGCCAGGGCAGGACCCCCAACACCACAGTACCTATCTTGTGGAAGAGCTCGGGGAGCTGCACCTCCACCTTCTCCCGCTGGAACATGTGGTACTCGGCTTGCTCGCAGATCGGCGGGATCAGGTTGAACTGCCGGGCCACGGAGTACGCTTCCTGCAAAGAGCCGAGACCCTCAGCACCACGCCACCCCCGTGAGCCCCCCTGAGGCCCCCCTGAGGCGCAAGAGCTGCCCTGGAAAATAATTAAGGCTCAAGCACATCTGCAAGCACTTGGCTCCAGCCTGCTGCTGTCTAATTGCATCAGCGTCACCGGCAGCACTGGGGCTGCTCTGCTGTGGCCGCCCCTGGCCCCTCGGGCCCCTACCATAATCTCCATGGAGCTCCAGCGTGAGGTTCCCCAGTACATGGCCATTCCCTGGTTGATGACGTGGGTCATGGCTCGCACCGTCTCTGCCAAGGGAAGAGGAGAGCGGCAGCAGGGGTTACCAGGGCACGGCACCAGCGGGAGGGGGCTCGTGCTGCACCAACGGC